AGAGTCACGGCCTGTAGACAGAGGATTTAATATGCAAAGCAGAGATCAAAATTGGCAGAAGGCTATTTATGAATATTGTCAATACTGAGTATCACAGACTGACAATCAAGAATCTTTGGTCATGCCCTAAACAACATAATTCATCACACCAGTGCTCGGGGCAGTCATGTCCAAGCGATTTATCATCATCACATTACTCGTTTGAGTACAAGGAGGGGAGACCGTTGATTGTTAACCTCTAGGGAGGTTGGATTTATAGCTGGCGCCCCTCAGAATGCATCCTGGCTCTGCCCAAAGCAAAATGTTCCTTGCTTCACTTCTGTTTAAGTCACCGTCAAAGAGAGCATGATGCCTACAGGATTCAGTGAGCAAAGCCCAAATCTGATTCTCTGATAGCCAAGTAAGATAGTCAAGAAATTGTATTTTAAATGCCCTTTAAGCTGTATGAAAAAAAATATTAGTCAATGGTAAATAGGCGTGATTCACTTCAAACGTCCTTTGGTGACAAATCAATTCTGGAAATGCATTCACTGATAACTACATTTGGGAAGGAATGTCTCTTCACAACTCATCCATGATCATTTCTCCATATTGGAAAACTTGGTAGCATGCAATACACAAGGGCGTGCGCACACACACACACACACACACACACACACACACACACACACCCTTTCTGGGTATTGAGTCTGTATGTATTTTTACTTCGACCCTGGCTGTGCTTGCAGACTGTAATTAAGCATCTGAAACAGTGGCTCTCAACCTTTCTAATGTTGTGATAATGCTTTAACAGGGTTTATTATGTTGTGGTGACCCCAACCATAAAATTATTTTCACTACTAAATCAAAACTGTAATTTTGCTACTGTTATGAATCGTAATGTAAACATCTGTGTTTTCTGATGGTCTTAGTTGACCCCTGTGAAAAGATTGCTCAACCCACAATGGTGTTGCGACCCTCAGGTTGAGAATCGTCGATCTAACTGATATTCTTTTTATCTTTGTTTAAAATCGTGAAGCTGACTGGGGCCCTGTGGGATACAGTGTGCCTGTCATCCCCCCAACAGTGAAATGGATATTAGTTAAAAAAAATTAATAAAAGCCCTGTACAGCACCTTCCACACGGCTCTCAGGTTATCTGGTGAATAGGACACAGGAATTCCTGGATACATGATACTCAGACCTACTGGAGTCTGTAAGGCAGCCCAAGTGAGGATGCGCCAAGAAATTCTCCAGTTTCCGAGACTAAAGGCAACCAAAGTGTATTTCTAGGCCACTTCATACGTCCACACCATGTGATGATGGTTCGTGTGATTGTCATCTTGACAAGAACAGAGACTTGGTTAGAAGGCAAGGCTCCAGGCACACCTAGAAGGAATTATCTTGATCCAATTAGTTGTCTGCCATGCCTGTACGGGATTATTTTGATGAGGTAAACTGAGGCGGAATGACTCACCTTACAAGTGTTACCACTCCCTTGACTGGGATGCTGGCTATATAAGAAGGAAGCTGATTGAGCAACAACATCATTGTCTGCTTCCTGACTGTAGTTGCGGTGCAACCGGCTGCCTCAGGCTCACCAGGATAGAAAAAAAAAATCCTAAACTCTGAGCCAAAAGAAGCCCAGCTATCCTTGCCAGGGTGTCTCATTGCAGCCACAGTGAAATTAACTCATTCTCAGAGGGCAAGATGGAGCTTAATTAATCTCTTTCATCTTATCTTGCTCTGAGATGGTGTCTCCACAGGAGAGTAACTGATGGGAAAGCCTGCCCCAAGTGTGGGCAACAGCATCTCATGGGCTATGATCCTGGACAGTGTGGGTAAAAGGAAGAAAGGGGAGAGCCAGTTGACACCAGCATTCATCTTCCTACTTCCTCACAGTGACCACAACATAACCAGTTACCTCATGTTCCTACCGCCATGCCTTCGCTGTCATGATGGACCGCACTCACAAACCGTGAGCCCCCACCCCTACCGCAAAAAGCATCCTCCTTTAAAATTGCTTCTTGTCAGGTATTTGGACAAAGGGAAAAGAAAAGATGAAACCCACATATTACCACATAGAACTTCTCTTCTAGTTTCTCCCCCAATTGGTCCTGCTTTTTTAGTAATTACTAGCCCGACGTCTCAGTTTTCAAGCTAGCAAACTGAGACTCACCTTTGATTCTCCCCTTTTCTGTCATGACCACATTCAACAGCAAGGGCAACGGAATCCAGCTCTGAGGTACTCAAAAAGCCCACTCCTTCAGCAAATCCTAAAGAGCCTAATTCACACACAGCAGAGCATCAGCCCTGGGGGAAACAGCGGCAGAGGCAACAGGAAAAAGACCCAGGGCCTTGGCTCCCTGTGGGGGCACATACCTGAGATTCCAGCTCATAGGCGGGAAGGATACTCAAGCTTGAGGCTAGCTTGGGCTACAGAGCAAAGTACCAAACCATCAGTGGCTACATCTGGAGATTCTGTCTCTCTTGACACATTTCAGTCCTCAAGTACAAGACATTATTATAATAGGTAATAGATAACAGAGTTATAAATACAGTGTGCTATATGGGAGTTAGCAATCGGGGGAGGGAAGGGGAGAGTATGAATACAATGAATACGAAGTCAAATGGTACACATCGGAAAGATGTGCTGATGATGTGACATTTCTCTGCCTCCACTGCCACTGATGCCGCCAGCCCTGTTCTCAGCTTGTGATTGGGTTTCATCACACCCACCTTTGTATTAATCCTGTTTCCTGCAAGGAAAGCAACAGTCCTTTCCAAGTGGCACAAATCCCGGCATAACCTCTGCCAACCAGATCTCCAACTTCATCTTGAACTGGACACTGAAACCTTCCAGAAGTCCCTAGGATGCATCAAGTTCTTTCATGTCTCCCCTGCCCCACAAGGTGCCAGCGAAAGGGATAGCTTTAGGTCCTACTTATCTTCCTACATCAGGATTTAAATTGGTGAGCCATCTCCATCACCAAATCCAGCCAGCACCCTCTCCACCAGCATCTATCCCAGCCCCCACTTATAAGTTGCATCTGTAGATTAATTTGCTTGCTGGCTCCTTCCCTCCCAAACAGAACACAATCTTAAGAATCTGGTGTGTCTTTATTTGTCCTGCTCTCATTACAGTTCCTGAGAGTGCTCAAGCGCAGAGTACATATTTATTGATTGAATAAAGTAACCCTTCCTGACCACCTTGTAATTTCAACACCAGAGGTGACCAAAATATCATTAACTAAAAGCAGTGTCTTATTTTCATAAATCCATGGATTGTTAGGTTGAGTCAAGACTTAGAGATCAATGACCTCGATGTGCCTAGGAAGCCTAAGTAACTTCTACAAAGCTCTGTGACGGGAGAGCTGGAGATAGACCCATTCTAGGTCGCTCTGTGACTGGAGAGCTGGAGACAGACTCATTCTAGTCTTCATTCAAGTCCTTCAAACCCGCCACCGCTTTCTCTCTCTTTGAAATGAGATTTTTTATTTTTTATTGTTGAGGGCTGGACAAAAGGCCTTGTACATGCCAGGCAAGCACTGTGCCACTGAGCTTAAGTCCCAGTCCTTTTTTAATTTTTCTATTTTAACACAGGTCCTTACTCTGTAGCCCAAGCTGGCTTGGGACTTGAAATCCTCCTGCTTTAGCCTCGTGAATAGCTTGTGAAGGTGTATGCCACCAGACCAGGCCACTGGAATTGATTCTTATGCTGTCTTCCAGGTCATGACCTAAGTCTCTGTTGGAGGTGGGGCAAGACTATAATATACAAGGTGGAAACAGTCTAAGGGAGAGCATAGACTTTGGATTCAGAAAAACAGACCCCCTTCTAACACCTTCTAGCAGTGTGGCTGGAACATTCTGTGCCCAATCTTGCTCATCCATACTCAAGAAGCTAACTAGCAAGGCTGTGTGATGGATCAGAGTATAGAATTCAGGTACCACCCCGAGTAGGCAACTTTCACTAAATGTCAAAAATCAAGCACTTGAACATCCCTAGGATTCAGAATCCTGGAATAGAAATAAAAAAAAAAATCCATTGCTCTTTTATTCCAAAACTATATATGCTTTTGTAACTTTGATAACTCTAAAGCAATATCCAGCCTCCACAAATAAAAACATAATTTCATAAAGACACACTTGGTGAATCTGGAATTCAAATTATCTTTTTGAAAATTGTTATCTGACCCATCAACAGTCAGAAATGGTCAGAAATATTTCTTTTCAATGTGCACTGTGGTTTTCTTCCTTTCCTGATTTCTCTTTCTTCCTTGGTTCTTTTTCTTTTCTTTGAAGGGAGCTGGTAACACACCTCAAGGATAACTTTTGGACATCCTTTCTCTCTATGTAAACTGTAAAGGAATGAACCAAATGAGTGTCCAGTCCCGGACCTCTTCTTACAAAGGTTCCTTTTCTGTAGCAGTGAGTAAATGAACCTTAAGGACAGGAATTAAGCGCTTCTCAACCTCCTCTATGTCGGTAGAGATTTGAAGATGTTCTCCCTGGTAGGTATCACTATACCCAAGTCATTATAACCACCAATCAATATCAGGGCTGTAGAAACGTCGCTAAGAGATTTAAGGAGACACACTTAAGTGCTGGAATATATGGACAAGAAAGTAAAGGCTCCAGGCTGAGGGTTCTGATGTCAAAGCTTGTTAAAGAAACCCCAGCAAGGAACGGAGGCCTCCAGCTTCCATTTCCCCCTCCCTTTCCAGCACAGCTGCCCCAGCAGGTCCCTAGAGCACAGCAGTCAACTCGAGCAGAGCAAGCAAAGCGCAGGACCCGCAGAGGGTCGCGAGCTTTCAAATAAGACTTTGGGAGACTTGAAACTTGGGGAGATCAGCTCCCGCTAAGTCCAGGCCATTTCCCCAAGGTCGGGGCGCCTGAAGTCAGGCCCCCTAGTCTTTGAAACCTCTCAGAGAAAAGTGGCGGAGCCAGAGAGCAGCTTTCCTGCTCGGGGCTCCACGTGTCGCCTTTCAAGGCGAGTCCCGACTTCCAGGCCTCGGTCCCCACCTTTTTTTACCCGGCCCACAGCTCCTGCACCAGCTCCGAAGTTTTCCTTTCTTCTGCCGTGCGTTGCCTGCTCCCCTGGGAACTTGAGCTAGGTCGGCTTTCCCCTAGTTGTCCCCCTCCCTCCCACTTCGCCTTTTCTTTAGCCTTTTCCCCGCCCATTGACCCTAAGTCACGCCCTACTCCCTCCCAAAGCCACACCTAGTGAGCTCTAGCCTGCCCTGAGAACACGCCCATTAGGTTTCTGCTTTACCAAGCAGGGATTTAGGCCTAGGCTGGGCTCACCCGCCCAGGGCTGAAGGGCATGTTAGTGTGCTAGCTTCAGCCTTACAGCTAAGGAGCTGCTCTCGAAGGCTGGGCTAGCAGCCCACCCACCCAAGGGGGGAGAAAGCAGCAGAATTTTCCCCCAGGTCTCAGTTCTTCATAAAACAGCCTGGAAAGATAGACTTCTCTGTGTCCTCCAAAACTACTTAAGAGAGCCTGAGCATTTCCAATTTGCATTTTTTGATTCCCCTGCTTAACACAGAGCTCTGGTTTTGTTGGGTTTTTGTTTGTTTGTTTTGCTTTTTTTTTTTTGAACCTGGACTTGCTTGCTGCCTTCAAGTTCAAGGCCAATAGTAAAGTCTAGTTTAGTTGGTATCAACCACATTATCACCTCTTCATAGGGACCCCTGATTGGAGGGCAGGAAATAAATTTACTCAAGTTAGAACCTCAACTTAAGAAGAAGAGGTTACACAGTCCCTTTTGCTTCTTTCCCCATTCACTTTTAAAAGCAGTGTTACAGTAGAAGCCCTTGAGAAAGGGATCGTGAGGGACGGACATTGAGAACAATGTGGCTGGGGAAATTCTAGAAGAAGGAAAGAGAAAAAACATAGGGCCTCAAAATAAGAGAGACAAAAATAAATGTAGAGGTAAGGAAGTGCAGGGTGCCCTCCTGTGAGTACTGGGGGGGGCTGGCCCTTGCTGGAATGAGCTGGGCTCACACTGAGCCCCTGGAATGAATAGATGGACCCAGGGAGGCGTCTGGAGCGATTTCAGTGCTGTCTGCCACTTTTCGTTGCCTGTTCTGTAACTACGAAGCCAAATATGTACCTGACCATGGTTGTTAAAGAGAAGCCTAAAAGCCCATTATTTGTAATGTTATGTGTTTTATCAGTCCATGCTGCCAGAGATGAAATTATGCATGAGGTTCATGTTAAAAACTCACTTTTTTGTCTCTCTGGAAGTTACTAAATTCTCTGCTGCCCACATAAACCATAGAGCAGTATTCATGTTGGAACTCACAGACAGACTCTTCCTTCTGTGGCTTTCCCTCCATAAAAAGAGTTTTAAAGAAAAATGACCATGTACTTTATTTATCTTTGAAGGAAACAACAAAGAAATTTCCAATCAATACGTAAAATATTTACTTACTTTAAAACATTCCCCCAGCAAAGTGAGACCATGGACAATAGGGACACATTCTTAGCATGTTGTGTCAAGATGTATATTGTTATCTTGCTGTATATTAGAAGTGGTCTGTATACTAATGTTAGCTAAATGACAAGTACCATTAGATTTTAAAAATACATAAAATAGGGGCAGAGATGGTTCAGCTATCATTCTTGCAGAAGACCCCAGTTCAGCTTCTAACACCCATGTTGAACAACTCACAACACCATGTAATTCAACATGTCAGGAACTCGCCTTGGGTGCTGAGGAATGGCAAGCCTTTAGCAGGTCAGAGAAACTGAAGAGGTGCAGAGCAGGTAAACTACTGGACAGACAAACAGACACAGGAGGACTTTTCTGAGGGTCCAAGTTTTGTTCTTCATTCTATTATTCTATTTTTATTGATTTTTATTGAGTGCTACATTTTGCTACCCTCCCTGCCTCTCCCCTCCCCTTCAACCCTCTCCCATATCCTGCACGCCCCCAGTTTACTCAGGAGATCTTGTTTTTTCCTACTTTCCATGTTGATTAGACCCTTGTAGTTTCTCTTAGTTTCCTAATTGTTGTCTAAGTTCTCTGGGATTCTGAATTGCAGGCTGATTTTCTTGGTTTATGTCTAAAAGACACTTATGAGTGAGTACATATGATATTTGACTTTCTGGGTCTGGGTTACCTCACTCAATACAAAGTTTTCTAGATCCATCCATTTGCCTGCAAATTTCAAAATGTCATTACTTTTTTCTGCTGTGTAGTGCTTACTATGTAAATGTACCACATTTTCCTTATCCATTCTTCAGTTGAGGGCATTTGTTTCCAGGTTCTGGCTATGTCAAACAATGCAGCTATGAACATAGTTGAGCATATGTCCTTGTGGTACAATTGAGCATCCTTTGGGTATATACCCAAAAGTGGTATTACTGGGTTTTGAGGAAGGTTGTTTCCTAATTTTCTGAGAAATCACCAGTTTTCTGACAGCCATCAGTTTTCACTCCTGCCAATGTAGGAGTGTTCCCTTTACCCCACAACCTCTCCAGCATAAGTTTTCATCAGTGTTTTTGATTTTGGCCATTATTACAAGTGTAAGATGGAATCTCAGAGTTGTTTTGATTTGCATTTCTCTGATGCCTAAGGATGCTGAGCATTTCCTTAAGTATCTTTCAGCCATTTTAGATTCCTCTGTTGAGAGTTCTATGTTTAGGTCTGTACTCCATTTTTTTTCATTCGATTATTTTTTCCTTTGATGAACAATTTCTTGAGTTCTTTGTATATTTTGGAGATCAGCCCTCTGTCTGATGTGAGGTTAGTAAAGATCTTTTCCCATTCTGTAGGTTGTCATTTTGTCTTGCTGACTGTGTCCTTTGCTTTAAAGAAGCTTTTCAGTTTCAGGAGGTCCCATTTTTTAATTGTTTCTCTCAGTGTCTGTGCTATGGGAGTTACATTTAGGAGGTGCTCTCCTGTGCCAATGCGTTCAAGTGTACTTCCCACCTTCTCTTCTATGAGGTTCAGTGTGGCTGGCTTTATGTTGAGGTCTTTGATCCACTTGGACTTGAGTTCTATGCATGGTGATAGATCTATTTTCATTCTTCTACATGTTGATATCAAGTTACACCAGCACCATTGGTTGAATATGCTTTCTGTTTTCCATTTTATATTTTTTGCTACTTTGTAAAAATTAGGTGTTTGTAGGTTTGTGGATTGATATCTGGGGCTTCGATTCAGTTCCATTGGTCCTCCTGTCTGTTTTTATGCCAATACCAGGCTGTTTTCAGTACTGTAGCTCTGTAGTAGAGTTTGAAGTCAGGGATTGTGATGCCTCCAGAAGTTCCTTTATTGTACAGGATTGTTTTGGTTATCCTGGGTTTTTTGTTTTTCCATATGAAGTTGAGCACTGTTCTTTAGAGGTCTGTGAAGAATTTTGCTGGGATTTTGCTGGGCATTGCATTGAATCTGTAGATTGCTTTTGGTAAGATTACCATTTTTACTATGTTAATTCTATCTACCTAAGAGCATGGAAATCTTTCCATTTTATGGTGTCCTCTTCACTTTCTTTCTTCAAAGATTTAAAATTCTTGTCATATAGGTCTTCCACTTGTTTGGTTAGAGTTACTCTGACCAAATATTTTATGTTATTTGTCATTATTGTGAAGGGTGATGTTTCTCCGAATTTTTCTCAACCCATTTATCGTCTGTGTAAATAGGGCTACTGATTTTTTTTTTTTTAGTTAATCTTGTATCCTGTTACATTACTGAAAATGTTTATGGGTTGTAGACGTTGCTTGGTAGAATTTTTGGGGTCACTTATGTAAACTATCATATCATCAGCAAATAGTGAGAGATTGCCTTCTTCTTTTCTGATTTGTATTCCCTTGATCTCTTTTTGTTGTCTTATTGCTCTAGTGAGGACCTCAAGAACTATACTGAATAGATAAGGAGAAAATGAACAACCTTGTCTTGTTCCTAATTTCAGTGGGATCACTGTGAGTTTCTCTCCATTTAGTTTGATGCTGTCTGTTGGCTTGCTGTATATTGCCTTTATTATGTTTAGGTATGTTTCTTGTATTCCTGCTCTCTCCAAGACCATTATCATAAAGGGATGTTGGTTTTTTGTTGAAGATCATCTAATGAGATGATCATGTGGTTTTTATTTTTTGGCTTGTTTATATAGTGGATTACATATGTTGAGACATTCCTACCTCTCTGGGATGAAGCCAACTTGATCACGGTGGGCGATTTTTCTTATGTGTTCTTGTATTCGATTTGACAGTATTTTATTTAGTATTTTTGCATCAATGTTCATGAGTGAGACTGATCTGTAATTCTTTTTCTTAGTAATGTCTTTCTGTGGCTTAGGTATCAGGGGAATTGTAGCCTCATAAAAAGAGTTTGGCGATGTTCCTTCTGTTTCTATTGTGTGGAACAATTTGAGGAGTATTGGTATTAGTTCTTCTTTGAAAATTTGTGGAACTGACTTTATGGTGATTTTATGACTCAGTCTTCTCATGTTATACTACAGTTTAGATCTGGAATGCCTCTCCCATCAAAGGCCTGTACAGTATGTTTTGATGCTCATCTTAGTTCTGTTGGAAGGTACTAAAAACTTTATGAGCCAGGGCCTACTGGAATGACAATTTAGGTCATTAGTGTTTCAAATTGATTGGATTTTTGAGATTTCACTCTATTTTCTCTCTCTCAGTTTCTAGGCTCAAAGTAAACACGCTTTGCTCTTCCACGTGTCATCATCAGGACATACCATCGTCATCTGCTTCAAAGAGTGATTTCAGAAGTTTTAACTCCAGTCAGAAATTTTTTTATTCACATACATTAAGTTAAATTTATGTGCTGTATAGTTGTATTAGTTTTTAAATGTCATACAAAGTAGCTCTATAATAATAAATTATCCTCTTTCACCTAACCAGAACCTGAGATGATTGGCAGTCACTGATCTGTTTACAATCACTATGGTGTCATCATTAAATAAAATGATATTAAGGGTTTAAAAAAAAGAAAATTTGTAAAATTCTGAGCTGAAACCATCTGGTCCTGGAGTTTTTTGGTTGGGAGCCTTTCGATGACTGTTTCTATTTCTTTAGCAGTTATAGGTCTATTTAATTTGCTTACCTGGTCTTAATGTAATTTTTGTGATGTAAGTGATATTTATCAAGAAAGTTACCATTTCC